ATTCTATTATTTGATTAACTTGCGTTATTAATGAGTCGCAATGTTGAATTCATGTCTTTTTCGTTTAAACTTAAAAACAAACTGTAAATCTGAATGTGAATCGCACGCAGTTTCCGTTTTCGGATGATTAAAAATGTATGAACGTTGGAAGTGAGGTTAGGGGGTGCGTTTTCAGTTCGCTCTTGTTTTATGCGAGCTGATATAGGGCTACACACGCACCACAATGAGCACACATTTTTAACAAAACATCGCCGAGTTGTTGACACAGCATGCGCGCACCGCCCGCGCCCGATTGTTCCGAATTTGTATTAAGGGAGGTTCGATTCGGCGGCGGCGGCGGCTGCGGTGTGGTGGTGGTGAACGAATTGTAATGTATACATTACGGTCGCGTCCGGAACCCCGGCAGTGGCAGCGTGCGCGCGCCCAGATTATTCTATTACCGCGTATCAACAATGGGGAGGGCTAATTTTGTTTAGTCTCACAACACGCCATTGTTTCAAATGGATCAAAAATTCAGTCTAATTAACTGCCAGTCGGCAGTTGGAGACGCAGACGTGGATTGCGGACTCTTGAATAACACACAGTTACAATCGCGGAAGGAAAATCGTAAATTAATTTATTTTTCATGTGTTTAACGCTTAAAGTTTTGGGGTTAAAGACGTTAAATTTAAGAGTTTTATTGTTTAGATGTTTATAATATAAAAAATGAGTTAAAGTAGTTTTTAAAACAATTGTAGAAGATTTTATTAACATTTAAAGTACGCTTAATTTGTTAAAATTGTGACTTGAGTAAATGTTTTTATAAAAATTGCAATAACTCAGAAACTATTAAAGATAATGATAAAATTATTGTATAGTTCTACAGTTGAGGTTAAGGACTATAAAATACATGTTAAATTAATTTTGAAATTCTCACCAATAACCCACAATTTGATAAAATGTAAAAAAAAACATTTTTCTACTTCTACAAGTTTTTCCAAGGTTTTGAGGCACAAAAAGTGGTATTTTAAACATAAATGGCCAAGGCCGTGACTAAAGTATTTTAGTCACGGGTTTTAGTCACGAGTTTTAGTCACAGAGTAGCAAAATGTGAAAATAAATCACAAATTTATACAAATACGAATTAAATAAACTAAATCAGTTATAACTCGAAAACTAATTATGATAAAGCACTGATTTTTGCTCCTAAACTTAGATAATAATCATTTCTATCAAATAAACTTCTAAATAATATCAATTTTCTACAATTTCACATACAAAACTTAAAAAAAGAAAAAAAAAACACTAAAAACCTCTTTGAATATATAAAACCTAAGACAATAACAATCCAGATCTATTTCTCCCGTATTTCTGCCTTAGTTACACTCACAAGTCTTAAAAGTATACGAATTTAATTTAAACGCACGTTGTAATCACGCCGCCTCTCGCTCGCAGCGCCAGAATATTAATAAACTTGTCGATTTGCATGTTCCTCGACTGTTTCGTATTAATTCGCAAAGTTGGCCGGGTGTTGAGCAGGGCGGTTATGAGAAAGAAGCCTTTCTTTTCGCGTCGGCGGCGGCGGCGGCAGGGCGGCGGCGTTATTAACGCGCGCATCGGCAAGCAAAACACGCGGCGCGCAAAATAAAGAGAATAAAGTTACGCCCGCCGACCACTTTGCAGCTCATTAAGCTTTTCCGCCATCGCCGCCCTCGAACGTCTTAACTTTGATTATATTTTCCGAATCGTTAGTTAATTACAATTTCGGATCTTGCCAAGCGGCGGCGCCGAGCCGAGTTTCATAACAAACGCGGCGCGCATAATGAACGTCTCATTAATGATTACACGCTTTAAATGAGAAAATTTAATGATAAAACTCCGAGCGGCGGCGGTGGGTAATTGCGCTGCGCGCGTGAGAGGCTTCGACAGTTGCATAAACAGAAATTCAATTGCGAAAAACGAGCGTTTTAATCGATTTTCGCGGCGTCTCCCTATTTGCGGCTTTAAATTCATCACACAGATATCAATTTGTAAACCGTCGCATTATTAGACTGAGTGGGAAGCCATCTATCAACCATTTAGGTATAAGAAGCCATCGTAGGTATATTGAATGCAATTGAAACTCACCTCGACGCGTTCCTCTTTGAGATCCACCTTGAGCGCGAGCTGTTCACGCAGCACTACATCAGGATAGTGTGTTTGTTCAAAGGTGGCTTCGAGTTGTTCGAGTTGCTCTTCGCTAAAGATCGTGCGATGACGACGCTTTCGCTTCGGCGGCTGATGTTGTGGATGCACACCTCCCAGACCGCCGCCAGCGCCACCTAGCGACATTGATGCTGCTTGCGATGCTGCTGCCAGTGCGTGAACATAACCTGGGTATAAACCTGGGTAAGCCATCGCTGGAATTAATCAAACAGAAAAAAAGTTAACCTCAAAAATGTGGTTTTTGGTGTGGATTTAGGCGTTTTTAATGTTTAAGCACCTAAGCACAGTAATAATTTAAAACAAAAAGCAAACATTCACTGCACAGCAGTTTTTTGCGGCTCCCTGCGGGGTATTAAAGAATAATATTATTATTTTATGCAACTCCACAACGTTCGACCCTCGCGCTGTCGATGCCCGCCGGCGGCAAATCCGACCGGCGAAACAAAAAAATGATCCGAACTTTTTTCTGCGCGCCGTGAGTTTGAAAAAGTGTTATTCTTGAGTGCGCGAGTTTTACTTATCGATTTAGCGATTATTTATTATTCAGTCGCGAGTGAGGTTAAGTGCACGTTGCCGACCGACACAATCAATCAAGCGAGATATGTGTAAGAATGCGTTCGGATGACAGAACACTCTGAGGAAAGCTTAGCTCCACCCGACGCATTATTAGAGGTGAGAGATTACAGAAGGCATTGCTGTAAGTCGCACACAGACGCACGCAGAGGAAATGCATGCAAAGAAGCTTGCGGCAGACGATATGTGTGATGAAGTGTGAATATTCACGCTTCTTAACTTCTCTCGGCGCGGAAAAATAAATCCGGATTGCAGCGCGCGAAAAAATAATAATGCAAATACCTATCTGGTTGCATTTGTTGTGTTGTAAGTAGGTAGTGTATTACTTTGGAGGAAGTAATAAGGAGCGATGTGGGAATGTGTTTTACGGTCAATTGCGTCGGGTGAATGTCGGCAAATTTTGTAATTTTTAGGTTAAACGTTGTGTGGCGCTCAATTGAGCATAAGGGGCATGGTGAAGACCTTTGGGAAATGGCGTGAAATTGCAAATGAAATTGAGTGTTTCGGGTGGTTTCCGTTTACTTTGAACAACTCCGACAGAAAGTTAATTTATTCGGGAAGTATTAGCTCTAAAATTGTAATTTTTGAGGTTATAAATTCTAAAATTAATTCTACATCTGATTTTTATTTAAATACTTTTCTATTTTTAGTTAAAAAATCAATTTATTATTGTTTTTAAAGTAATTTCTATCATTTTTAGGTGGAATATTAGCAAAACAAAGGCAATAAAGTCGTTATAACCTCAAAAACAAACAAATGTAGAAATTTTGTGGTTTTTTCAATAAATAGCTAGAAATTGACAACCAGGAACATAACCTAATCTCAAAATATGGTGATTTGAGTTAAATTTAACCAAAAAAACCTAAAAACCATAGAAATTCTTAAATTTTCTATCAAAAATATCTTCTGCATTGTTTTTAACCAACTACTTCATTAAATAAACAAAAAAACGCAAAATTTCTCCTCTAATTGGATAAAATAATGGTAACTCAACAATTAAAAGTTAAAAATGAATAATTTGTCGTTTTTAAGGTTTTCTTCTGCAAATTACCAGTAAAACAATCAAATATTTACCTAAGAAGTCAGCACTAGCCGCTCCGAACCCACTCGCCGCCGCAGCAATATGTCCCAAATGCAAAGTCGGCGGATGCATCACCCGCTGATGCTGTTGTTGTTGTTGCTGCTGCTGATGATGTTGATTAACCGCGAGTTTCGGCCGCGTCGGAGCCAAAATACTATCAATCGTAAACAAAGACGTCGCCGTATTAGCCGTGGTCGACGGTTGGCGATTAGATTTGAAAACCGGCTTAAACCCGCCGTCGCCGAGGAACATGTTCCCGAAGAGCTGCGGATTGAAGACGTGGTGATGATGCCCCGCTTGCATCCCGGCGCCGCCACCACTGCTACCGCCACCACCTCCGGAAGTCGCCACCATCTTGGCGTAGGCTTCCTCCTCGCAGCACTCGTCGTCCGGCAGCTCCGTGCTGGCGCCGTCCTCCACACCAACGCACCACTCCAAATCCGCGTCGCGTTTTACCTTTACGTTTGCCAGCTTGCCGATGAGACACAAATCACAAACAAATGGTAATATCACACCGTATATTATTCAAAGTTTTAAATTTAAATTTAATTCTAAATCAAAACACACGTGTTGATTTCTAGTGTATGGTTACTGGTGCAGTACTAGTACTTGGTCTTCCGGTGCACGGGAAAGAAGTGAGGCTGTGGAGATGATTCCCCAATTCCCAAACAGCTTTACCTTTACGCATCTCCACCAACATACCACACATACACAGACACATCGAACAATCCTTCTTCATTCACCACAGTCACCCCGTCAGCCCTTTTTAAAGGCAGTGGCATAGCTGCGCATTGCTGCTCTTCGATTGGTAATCCCATGGCGGGCATCCCTCTCGCCGAAGCGCACGCACCAATCGTATGCGCCGGGCTGTTTGCACCCTCTGTGTGCGCCCGGCATCCCTTCCACCGAGGGTTTTTCGCGTCCCACTCTGAAAGGCTGTGGCCGTTGTATAGGCCTGTAGGTAAGCGAGAAGCGTTTAATGTGTTGTGTCAATCTCGATGGGAAATCTGATATGCGGCGTTAAGAGGGTTGCCGCTGACAGCGACGCAGCCGCGCCGCTTATTATCTGCGATCTCGCCGCCGCCACCCACTCGCGCACAGCGCGTCTCGAGTGTGACGAAGTGATGTGCTTTTAATCGACTTTTCAACCTTCCAACAATGCGCGCATTGTTCGCATTAAATGCACAATAGGGGATGTGACAACACCAGAATACACGCGATTGTGTTGTATTCACCCCCTTCGAGTGGCGCGCACAGCGGCGCTTTTGGAATAATCACAAGTTCTAAACAGAAAACAAAAAAAAAACACAGAGATTTATTTTTCTAATTAGTAAATGTCATGTTGATTCGTTAGCGGGCGAAGAATGTGATTGGATGGTGAAGGAGCGGCCGTAAACGAATCGAACCGACGCAATCGAATTGCGAGCGAAACGGGGAAATTATGCAAGATTATAGGGATTAGAGCGACGCGACGCAGGACGCATTACGCGATTACCCCGCCTACGGACCAATAACATCCTTTCGGCGCGCGCCGCTCCCAGCACACACATTCCGCAACCCCTAGAGGTGTATCATCACACAAAGGACATAAAGATAGAATATAATTTATTATTTTACACTTATTCGGCTAATGCTTCCTGATCTGCGTCAGTTTGCGTTTCTTTCTCGGCGGTATCGTCAAACATGTACCATTTTTTCTTATTAATCAAGAAGAGTATCATTATTGCTGGTAGGTGAATCAATGAGAAGCGGAACAGTTTGCGTGATGTCGCACTGGTTGAATCTTGGTAAAATTTGTACGCTAAACATAAAAATACAAAAATGAAGTGTTTAGATAGGCAACCAAATATACACTTCTTTTTAAATAAGTGTTTATCAAGATAATTTGTTGGAATTACTTACCTAAATATATAAAATATAGATTTAATGGTAATGTTTCCAACATGAACCACCAATTAGTTGTGCCTATAATAGGCGCAGCAGTAGAAAAACCTAATAATGCGATGGTATGCCTCAAAGCAACACGTCTACACAACGCAGGATCAGTTACCGCCATCATTCGGTATCCAGCACGGGAATAATCAGGCCGTAGGTTCCAACTTAACGCGTTGAAATGAGGAAACTGCCAGGAATATAATAACGCAGCCATTAACCACGCGCCAGGACCTAAACTATCCGCACATGCTGCCCAACCCATTAAAGGAGGTATAGCACCAACTGAAAATTAATATTTTGTTAAAAAAACAAAATTTTAAGTAGAAAATTATCAATTTTTACCTATTGAACCAACCCATGTGTTCAATATACTCATCCGCTTCATAGGAGTGTAGATACATGTGTATAGAATTAAGTTAGCTAAGCCCAGTGATGCAGTCAGTCCATTTACACCAAAGTAGAGTAGGCCTAGACCAGTTGTACTTGCACCCAATGCAAATAACATTGAATGCAAAGGTCTAATGTAAAAAATTTAAATTTTTAGTTGTAATATACATTTTATGTTTAAAAATTTAGTATCTTACGTTAGTTTACCACAAACTACAACTCTTGACTTTGTTCTAGACATTTGCGCATCAAATGGAACCTCATGGAACTGATTAACTGCATTTGCTGCACAGGATGTTAGTCCTGTACCCACTGAACAAAGTAAAAATGTTGTCCATTCAAATGGGGCTGGAGCAACTGCATAACCAGCCATTGAAGTAACAACTACCAAAGCTGTAATACAATTTTTATATAAAACATGGTAATATTTAAAAAATACACAAAAATTTACTTGTTAATCTGATTTTAGACAACTTTAAGTAGTCATTGAATAGACTGTGTCTGTCTGTTGAAGGTGTTGGTTTCCATTGTGGTACTACTTTTGGTTTTACTTTGGCGATTTCCTCATCAATAGCACCTAAGGTGGTTGCTTGTGATTTTGGCTGATTAACATAGCTTGCCAGAGGGACACTAAACTTAACATGTTTCTGAAAATTAGGTAAAATATTTGTCATTTAATTAAAATTTTAGGTATTCGTAGAAGTTATTACCTTAAATATTAAATTTGTACCACGGTATGACAGACAGCATAAATTACGAGGTTGCAGCAGCGTTAGCAAAGCGCTCATTGTTAATTATTCAGTTATCTATCGTATCATTTTCGGCGTTTAATATTTATTTTCTTTGAATAAAACTTTCAAGTGTTTAATTTCGTAACTTTTAGGTTATGGTAATATGCATGTGAGTTGTGAATGTGTGAAAAGTCAATCAGTTGAGAATTTATTTCTATTTTTATAAATAACATGTTGAGATTCAAAGAAGAAATTAGGCATAACATGTCATAAATCATAAAATAAAGAGTAGAACACGATATTTGTATAATAATAAAAATAAAATAAGTAAATTCATTAAAAACCAAATATTTGAAAATAGGTTGGCAGCACTGAAACAGCAGGAATACACTAACAAAACATATGAAGCAAATCCTGCAGAAATTTGAATATTACGCCATCGATAATGACATAACAAACGTATTAGTTATTATCACATATTCCAAGGTCCTTCCGACGTGTTGCAGTCCTGCTGCATGAACATTAGCATATGTATGCAAATATATATTCGCCGTGCATATCAAACCCGTTCGGCGCAGCAAGGCCGAAGCAATAATAACACACTCACACGTGTACGATAGTATCATAAGTTCATTTTTTATTATTTTTTAAATAATTACAAAATATCGGTCATATAAATGTCGTTTTGTTGCCTTGTTACTTACAATTTCTTTTTATATTTTACAAAAGAACGTACTCATTTACGCGTTAGTAGTTATAATGTGTTCTGATTCTTCGTTGAAAAGCGATTAGATGTCTTTGAAAACGAAACGAATTGCACTCGAATTAGTGTCAACAAAATAAAAAACATCAAATCTTTATCAAAAGTCCAAAACACGAATGGAAATCATAAAAAAAGAAAACAAAAAGAAAAAACCAGCCAGAGCAACTCTGTGATCTCCGTATTCTCCGTGTCATCATCCCTGCGGATCAGAACACGATCGAGAAGAGAAAAAAAATTATCTATTTGTTCTATTAACTATGATAAACAGCACTGCAAGCCTGCCAGTGAATGCAATCGTTTGCAATCGAATAAACATAAAATTGAACTATCTATAACATAAATCTCAAAACTATCTACATTAGTAATTAGAAAATAAAAAATAGAAACCATCATCATAAATCTCATCACTCCCTGCCACACCACACGCATTCACACACACCAACTGATCAATTAATTATTGGTTGTTGTACATTTCGATTAAATATTGCTTTTGCACTGTAGTTTCACTTTCATTTTAAGCTACTGGTAACTCATACCAAAAAAACTCCTAGCATATTGAAACCGAATCAAAAACGTTTTTGCGAGGCGGCGTTTTCGTCTACACCCTATAGACAGAGTTGGAGGGTTGGATTCGTAATTAGCACCTTGAGTAGAAATCCATTCATCTCTTCAAAATCAAATTAGGCTAGTCAAAGTGCGCCCGAGATTGATTCAGGCACGAAAAATTCATTTCTTTTTTTTGTTTTGTTAGCGTCCGTTGCGGATTTATAGCCATGCGGTGTCTGTGTGTGTACTAAAATTCAGCTATAGTTTCGTATATAACATTAAAACAAAATCGTTAATCATTAAACAATTAGATAACAGTAGAATTATGGCGACTTCGGCATGCAAATATGGTATGCGTTATTTGGTAACAAAAATATTAACTACTATATTTTATATATTGGTATTCCGTCCTGCAGCTCTACTATAGTCATAACCCATCATATGATTTGTTTTCGTTTCAGCGTCGTGACACAAATTATTGAAAATCCCGTGTTAGTGATACAAGAAAGAAAAAAAAACACCTACAAACCTAACCTCTAATCATTAACCAAGAAGAAAAGAATGACGAAAAAAGAGTCGAATATATAAATATCTATATGCGATGCGCGCTTTAGTATTATTACTTTTTGTTTTGTTACTTTTCTCATTTATATAATATAATATTCATATAGAAATTTAAATTTTTCTCCGCTAAACGTACTGTTGTTACGATTTACACGTAGTCCGATTTTTTGTTTGTTTTTAGTTTCGTTTAGTCGTGTCTGTGGTAGCAAAATGAAATTGAACTAACTTTAAGTGTGAGGTAGACCTGAGCTTACTTCCATCATCTCGTCAGCCTGCTGCGGCGCCTGCGCGTGCGGATGCAGGTGGTGATTGGGTAGGAAGGGCGCCACGCCCGGCTGCTGTTGCTGCTGCTGCTGCTGGTAGGACGGATGGTGGTAGTGGTGTGTGGGCGCCTGCTGGTGCTGCGGATGTGTGCGATACTGCAAGCTGGAGCCCATCACGCCGCCCATCCCCAAACCAAAATGGTGGCGCAGCGGCGTCGGGTGGTTCTTGCGCGGCGAGCGCGATTTGACAATCTGCGACTTGTACATGTCCTCCAACACCGACGGAGCTATGTAGGTGAAGCCCTGAAATATCATGTTGGCGCTTTCGCTAAGCGTCGACTCATCCGGTGAATCTACGGGTGTTTGGCGGGTGAATTTCGTGTCAAACTGCGAGACATCATCTTCACTCGTCTGAAATTTTATTCAAAAAATAAATAAATTATTTTTAGGTTATTAAAGGAATTGTTTTGAAACTTACCAAACAAGGCTTAAATGGCGGTTCAAGTTTACGTTTGAGCACGTCATCCCAATTGATATGCTTGAAGAACTGATGTTGCTTCACTTCCAGAGAGTCGTGTGGTTGCGCACCCAGACGCGCGCCGACTTGTCGTTTGAGCAGTTTGCGCACCAGGTCGCGTGCGTCCGAAGTTAAATATGGCGGTAGGATTAATTTACCTTTTAGGATCTTCTCGATAGTCTTCTTACGATTTTCGGCGGTGAATGGTGGCTAAAAATCAGAAATAAATACAACAACATTCAAAGAAATTAACGTAAAATGTTTTTAATACTTACTGCACCAGTGAGCATGTCATAAGTGAGTGCACCCAGCGACCACCAGTCTACCTCTTTGCCATGGCCGCTGCGCGTGAGTATCTCGGGCGCCATGTACTCAATGGTGCCGCAAAACGTGTGCGTGACGATGCCTTCCTGAATGTGCTCCTTGCACAGACCGAAATCGGTGAGTTTCACGTGGCCCTGCGCGTCGAGCAGGATATTCTCAGGCTTCAAGTCTCTGTAGATGATGCCCTGCAGGTGTAAATGCTCCAGGGCGAGGATGATTTCTGATAAGTAAAAGCTAAACAACAAAATAACATAAATTTCTTGATGTTTTTAAAAAGATTTTAAAACGTACCATGCCGTATCTTCTAAAAAGATGCCTTCTCTTTCCAAATGCATAAACAGCTCACCCCCACTGAGATACTCAAGTATCAAATACAATTTGCCACCAGTTTGGAAAGCATAAATTAAATCCACTATAAATGGATGCTGTAAATATTATTGTATAAGTTTAATTCATTCATAATATTTGTGTGAATGGTGCAATACCTTAACTTCTTCTAAAATATTTCGTTCAGCCTTAGTGTGTGCAGTGTCCTTCTGATTTCGGACAATCGACGCCTTCCTAAGCACCTTCATGGCAAAGATAGTCCCCTTGTCCTTGCCAGTGACCTTCCTAACTTGGAAAACTTTACCATAACCGCCTTTTCCAAGCACTTTGCGCAATTCAAAGTCCATGGGGCTGGTTTTCTCCTGGCCAGGATTCACAATCTGCTCTGTGAGCTCTGTGGTTTCAAGGTTCTCATCGGACCTAAGAAATTCAACAAGAAAAAACACGTCATGACCTTGCTTCGCTAAGCTTACTTAATATGCTGCTTAGTTATCTTATCAAATGTTGTGCATTTTTTTATATATTTGATTTTTGCAATGTTGTGCAAACCTGCAGGTCACTCACTCGAGAATCTCGTTCACGTTCGGATTCTGGTCGTAGCCCTCGTAGCCGTCGATCACGTCGTCGTCGGAGTCGTCGACGTCGGCGGGCACGACGTCGTGCAGCTCGATGTCAAACACCCCGGCCATCCTGCGCGCGTGCACAAAAACAAATAAAGAACGCCTCGCGCCGTCGAGAGTAATCGCGTGTGTCTATCGTCTAGCGACCGCCAGACGCATCGATGCGATGCGAATCGCCTACGATGGCAATGTCTATGCTGCGAGCGCGATTGATGGTGCACGGTTGTCCGTTGACGCCCGACGCATATTTCGGCCACACACGCCTGCGGTCGTCCGGTGCACTGCCACTGCCCGCACCGCTGGAATTCGCTGAGTTTACGTTGCGCGTTTGACGCGAAGAGCAAAATTGTTAGCCGACCGCTGCTGGTTGAAGCGCTGCCATGCACTGGCAAGAACACACTTCGGCGAGGTTATGTGTTGCAATCTGTGCGCTCCCGCGGAAGTCGGCATTCTTCGGGTGGTTTCGGTTTTGAACCAGCCCCTTTCACTAGAAATCCCCAACCATTCGAAATTACACCGAAACTCACAAAATACGAAGTAAAACTTGATACTAACACCATATAAGGCTTTAAATATTTAAATCCCACGAAATTCTTAGTACCTCATAATATATTTAATGATGTATTCTCGGAATTTGTCAGTTTTGACTTAGTTTAATCCCAAAAAGTCCCTAGATTTAGTTGGCAACGCCATTTTGCAATAAGTTCGCAAAAACGCTCGAAATTTATCTGAAAATACTTAAAAATCACAAGTGCTTGATTGAATTCTCGTGGTAAGTATGTTATCAATGTTTATTGTTCACCTTGGAATATATACGGGTGTGTACAATATCAATCGCATCACGCCATCATCATCTCGAAACCAAATCAGCTTCCAATTGATACCAATGTTGATAAAAAGTACATTTATAATAAAATATGAGCATCTATCGTAACAATGATATTGTTTTCAAGGTATAGGTAATACTACGCCTACACTAGATTGATATACGATCACGATTCAGTTCTTTCGGCTGCCTCCACCCTTAAAATGTGCCCGCGATTGACACGCAAATTTGAAAAATTTTGTTCCCAACGTGCGTTTTACATTGTTACAAATATCACACTCTCACAAATTGTTTTGCCAGTCCACCCTCGTGTTGACTATGCGTGTTTTACACTGAGCAAATTACACATTGATTAATTTATGTATGTAAACGTGTACACATGAATACATTTTGTTATTTTTTTTTTGTTTTGGTACAATGTAGGCTTCATTTTTATTGTGGGTTATAATTTATCGTTAAAGTTAATTATGTGTCTTTTATTATTCGCGACCCAATCGACATTCTAAGGACACACGCTATCTACGCCTAGCTGCGCATAGGGTGTTTCAGTTTGGCTTTAGACCAACGAAATACCCGCATGTTAATAAATGATTAAAACATTTCGGTGTGTGTGTGTGGGTGTGGGGTGTAAAAAGTCTAGAGTTTACTGGTTCCGTTGCGCTTCTCGTCGCGTATCACAATGTCGCCGGGCGCCAGCTCCTTGCTGATGCTGTTCGGCAGCGAGTTGCGCTCGTCGTACTCGGAGGATTCCTGCATAATGGCGTCGGCCGCCATCAGCTCCTTCTTCGACAGCACTTCTACCACAGCCGCGGCGTAACAGTCTCCAAGCATATTGTTTGTGGTTCGAAAACGATCCCTGCAATAATTTTATACGCATAAATAGTTAATAAGTGAGGTTATGTTGAAAAATTTTGTTTTTTACTTACACAATCCAGTCTACAGCAAATAATAAAGACACATCCTGTGTAGGTGTGTCAATGGACGATAGCACCATGAGAAGAAGTACCAACGCTGCACTTGGCACGCTGGCTGACGAAAAACTCGCCGCCGTTGACGTAAAACTGCAAAAAATGCGTTAAAATTTTAATTGTTAGCAGCTGTGCGCACGTGCCCCGCCTGCGTCACCTTCCTGTCGAAAGGACGCGCGCGTGTGCCGCCAGTGCCAAGCCGACATTTAACAAATTATTGTCTAGATTTTTTGGCACCCTTCTGTTCGCTTGCAATAAATCCGAATTCATCATTCTTGTTGCCTACTCACCAAACGGTGACGAGTTCGCCGAATCCCAGCGTGATTCCATTCATCTGCGCGATGAAACAGGACGCAATCGCCACAAATAGCGCCGTACCATCCATATTAATATTGCATCCGATAGGCAGGACGAATCTGGTAATCCGCGTATCGATTTTCAGATTCTCCGTCATCAGTCTGAATGTGATCGGCAGCGCGGCGGCCGTGCTGGCCGTTGCGAAAGCCGTACACGTGCTCTGCACCAATCCGACGTAAAATTTGAACGGATTCTTGCGGACAAATACTAAATAGATCAGCTGCATGAAGATTAGCTGATAGATGAGGACGCCCAGCACGACGGTGGCAATAAAACACGCCAGATTGGAGATTACCAGCGCGAGGTCATTCACAGCGAGGATTTTCCCCGCAATTACGCTGCTTATCCCGAACGGGGTGAGCCACATGACGCCCGTTACAAATTTCATCACCACCTCGAAGGTCACCGTGAAGAACTCAATCACCACTTTGGATTTTTCGCCCAGAGTACCGAGAATCGTGCCGAAGATAAGGCAAAAGAACACGATTCCTAAAGTATTAGTGCCCGATCTACAATAAAGCAATAAAATTACACTTTGGGTTAAGTTTGACTAACAAAAGAATATTACCTGTAGTTGATTTGACGTACAAGTGTTTCTGTAACTTCATGCGTACCATTTTCGACATTGTAGACCACATTTGATGTATTCACGTAGGCGGTGTGTGCCTGCAAGAAACAAAATCTTTATTTTCTTGTTCAGGGTTACACAACATACATTCGCAGTTTTTTTGTGGTTATAAATGTTTCGAAATAAGTTTGTTTGCATTTGCATTCTGCTGATTTGGTTTAATTTGCTCTTTGTTCAATAAATGTACTGATGGTATGTTGTACGTTGATGCCTACCTGCTGGAAAGTCGCTTGAAATATATTATCAGCAACGATGTTTCTAAAAATAAATAGAAAACAACAATGTATGTAGAAAGAGCGACAAGCGGTCTGACCTAATTACACATCTTCAGCATGCTTCAAAGCGCGATTCAGAGCGAATTGAAAAAGACTTCCGCGTTGACGACACACATAACCACACACACTCACACATTCAGTCACATATACAAGTATTTAAATCCATCGTCACATCGCCAGGAATATTTATTCCTGGCCGCGTGCCACACGGTTAGCGAGTTTAGCGTTTCCTTCACCTTTCTGAATCTTTCAACGATACACAAGTTTTTTTTAGTTACGTTACAAGTTTTTCATTACTTACTGCGTGTGATGTGGGTTGCCTGAAACGAAAGTTCAAAGTTAACCTACCTTCCAAGATCCAGCAGACTGTCGAGCATGCTGGTCGCTCCACGATTTTCATTGCCATCGCCCAATGCTTCCTTGAGACCAGGATGACCCGGATGGATGATGGTGACCAGTGTTACGCCAAGAATTGCGTTCGCCACGGATGTGCAGAGGAAGTAGACAAGCGTGCGTACTGCAATACGGCCGTTGAGTTTGGCGTTGAGGCTTGCGCTACCTGCCACCAGGCTGGAGATGATCAACGGCAGGATGATCAGCTTCAAGAGGCGCATGAACAGTTCACCGGGGTATGATATCAGTGTGATTGAGTCATCCGAAAGTTTACACGGTCTTAAACCAAATCCTTTTTAAAGAAAAAACAAAAAAAAAACATTGTAAGTATATTATAATGACGATATAATGTTTGTTAGGTTATGTCAAAATCTAATTTTGCTTCTTTTGTTGAATTTTCTGTTTGACAGGTTGATGATACATTTTTCCGAGCGCCTACTGGTACTGACGTCAGCAGTGCCCTTGACCCTTACGAACTAATGTTAATTTTTGGCAAATCCACGCCAACATGGACGCATTTCACCCTTTTTGAATGGCATTTAAGTGTCGTACTATTAATAGCATTTATTTGCGTGTGGGGTCGTTATTCATCGTTTATACAATCCATTGGAAACATTCAGCAAACATTTTTCCAATACGGCAATATTGATAATTTATTGTTATCGCTCGAAAGGGTTGAGTAATAACATCCCGGGTGAGTTATTCATGAGTTTCATGACAAAACTCATTACTACATTGTCTTTTTTTTTCGTAGTTTTTTCCATTTCCTAATGACGATTCTTATTGATATTGTTTGATGACTATGTCAATACAATATTGCGAGTTGATGAAAGGTCAAGTTCAAGGACGGCTGAAATAAACTGAAAACTTTTAAGTTTTCCTTCCTAACGTGACACATGACGCCAAATCCTATAAGTCTATTTTATTAAAATTTCAATTTACGGGATTTGCATCTAAAGCGCGAGCAAGTGGAGCAGATCCGCAATGAATTGCTAATTAACTGCTTGAGACCCGCGCAGGGAGAAGTGACACTTGACTCAGTTTGCTTTCTACGCATTAATTTTCACTTTTATCGGGATTTTGTGTTTTTTTTTTTGCAGACTTACCGATGATGGCACCGACAGCAACACCGCAGAGCGTGCCGAGCAGCAAGAGGTTCTCCGACAACCACTTGCGTACGCCCGTCATCTCCTTCTTGTCGGAGCGTTCGGTGAACTCGATCTTGACGGTGTTATTGTCTTCGGGCATTTTGGCAAACAGGTACTCTGAAAATAAAAAAATAATTTAAAAATTTTTTTTAAATTTTATTTATAAAAAAATTAATTTTTTGTTTTTTAAGTTTCCGGTTTTGTGCTTTGTGGTATTTACCATTACCAGAAAATCGTGATGGATTTTCCATAGCACGTGATGATGGTAAAAGTGGCGGACGTCTGGCGTATGGGTCCCCGTTGTAGGAGTTGTTTTATACTCGACTGCCGAGCGACGGCGACGACTGCGAGGGTAGCTCGTGGGTATTAGGAAGAGATAATTAATTGGCTAAACGGCAGCCGGCGGCTTTCCGCAAATCGATACCGAGTGTTTCCACGCCGAAGGTGCAAAGATCCCAATGAATTTCTAACGAGCGCTGCGCCACGACTATTTAATAACGCGCTCTCGTGTCGATGGTAATTTATGGAATTGTTTTACAATTGTTGATCCAATTATGTAAAGTGTTGTCGCCTTTTTTTCGACGATATTTTTCCGTGGGTCTGTTTGTATTCTGTGTGTGTGTGTATGTGCGTCAGCGCTTGGTAACAGCAGGAAGCGTGGCTGAGAGATAGCTGGATGCGCGGAAGGTGACCACCGAACGGGAGCAGTTGAAAACGGCGACTGGAGGAGCCCGATGGCGCACCAGCAGCGGTGGTGTCGTGCTCCAGACGCGCCGGTATCGATTTTCGCGCGCCGACGGCGGCCAAAATGCGCCTCTGCCGCCTCTTGCCTCCTCGCTGTGCTCACTGCACATGCTTTGCTTTGACCGCGCCAAACTATTTGCGATGTGCAATACGCGCACACAAATCGGCAATACGAATTTATTTTATGAAAATTGACAGCGCCGCCGCTGCTTAATTAAACAATTCATTAACCAGCGGCGTTAAAAAAGTGCGAATCATATTTTTCGAGATGCGGATTAATTTGTTTGCTTGTCTCGTTGATTATTATTAATTTGGGCAATTTACAGCTACAAGGACACATTTTTTCAATTCATTTCATTTCATTTCATTTGATAACATCTTCTTTGGTAATTTTCTAAGAATCGCATTAAAAATGTATGCACTTTACTAATTGCAATTGCAATTGCAGTAATCCACTGATGTAGATACTCGTATCTACATTCAGAGATGCTTTTTGATTTTTATCGGTTTTAATTACTCCAGAGTACTTTACCGCAATGAGGGCGAGTGTGCAGGGGGTTGTTATAGGTGGCAAACATGCGTAAAGCTTTTCGCATTGAGGTAGGTCACTACGTCTCTCGTTGGGAACGCCGTAGGCGCAGGAAAGTTCGCTACGCATCACAGTCGCTCACAGAAATAATTATTACTGCGATATTTTCAGTTTGACCCAAATCACAAACAACGTGCGCTTTTATGTCATTAGATTATACCTATTATACAGAAAGCAATGCGATGCAATTAGTTTATTTTTAACTATAATTTCTCTAAGGAAAGGCATAGTATGCTTTTTATTATTGATTAACAATTTATTCTCACTCAATCAAAGTCTAGTTTGTCATACTTTAAAACTTTCTTTGCAAGAAATAGTTTTATATGCGTTTTATGGTTTGTATTATGGAATTAACCTAAAAATACGTATTTTTGGGCTATTAAGTTAGGTTTGTTATAGTTTTTCTTTTTATACGTAGATGGCGTAGGGCTAAAACATGAAACTTGCTGAAATACATTTATTTCGTAAGCAGTGTCTAGTCTAGTTGACTAAACATAGTAAAACCGATTTGTTCATATTATTAATGTCTAATTTATTCGGTAATATCGGTTTATCTATGGTTTGACGCAAGTTTATAATTTTATCACAGAATTTTATTACGTCGGTAAAGGTAACAATAAAAGTTAAATATGCCATTGGCAATTTACATAAATAATTAGAAAATATAAGTTGAGGTTTTTGAATTTAAACTTTAGTATTATAAATTCTCGAAATTCGCTCGCATACTACTGGAAAATGTAAGGTTATAAATGTCGCGTCGCGTCTTGTGCTACATCGAAGACAAATGCGCAGGCGCAAGCTCCGCCCCGTTGATAATGCCCGTGAGTAAAGTCCTTTTTTCACTGCTATGGCCGTTCGTATATAAAGTACCACTTTTTTTTGTCTAAAAACCGTGAAAAAAACTGGTGCTTTATAAGTGAAAGTCGATAAATATTTATTTCCTTGTTTATACTACATATTTATATTAAAACTGCCATAATACTCTTATTTTTTTATCTGTTTTATAATCTCATCATTTAGTAAAAAGGCGAAAACTATAAAATGAAAAACAAAATCTACTTTACATCCAAAACATCTCGAAACTCACCGAAAATAATTGTCACGCGCAATATTGAGCAATGATTAACGAAGTACGATTTACCAAAGCACTCACGCTGACGCTCGCAAATAAAATTAACCGTGAAACTCGCAAATTCCACACAAACTTATTCTGACCAGCTATAATTGGAAACAGATCTATATTTTCGTAAGCGAAAGCCACTATTGCAAATATACCTATGAGCATACATCCAACCTAAACTCATCCACCACTAATATTCCACCGAATAAAATCCAATCCATTTCTATATTCATAATAAAACATCACTTTATAACCACATTAATCTCAAAAAGCTTTCAGCCACAATATTTTTTTGTATTTACATACAAATTTCTGCTTCACCAAGCGGAAATTCTTATCTTTTTAAAAAGCACAACACAAAAGCCAACTTAAGACATGTTAAATGTATTATATTATATTTTGAGTGCGGTGTAATGAGGTCACATTGGCAGCTCTTAATTTAGCTTTTTTTTCATTAACGCGCTGCGCTGTGCTGTGAAATTGATTGACGCATCAACCACCAGCCAAACAAATTATATAAACGAAATTTCGCGCGTCAATAAACACTTTCAATTTGTTTCACATTACAAAAACAAAAATAAAACATAAAAATAAAAAAAATACTTACAAAATATTTCTTAATATAAATTTAGTTGGTAATTGTAATAAATCTCTCTGGACACACAACTCACTTCTAATTATAAACACAATTAACTATTTTAATTTAAATTTTAATAATGTGTCCGACAATCGTACGCGGATTTCATTGTCATCTACAAAACTACGCTTTAAATAATGATTTTTATTATAATAACAATAAAAATCCACTGTATTTACAAGTGCAGTGAACTTTCACGCAGTTTACGATTTGTTTTCGCTCGTAAATATCCACGCATCGGATAAATTTTATTTTTCACACGCACAAAACTCAAAACATTCAGATTCACGCAAAAAATAAATAAAAACCGAACGTAAAACACGCGTTGATCACATTTAGTGCTGAAAAAAGTGTGCAAATCGTTTCGGCGTAATTGTAGCACTAAAATCACGTTGGTAATTTGCGTCGCGACGCTGTCCACAGAAAAAGGGGGCCAACACACACGAAATTCTATTGGCACACGCCGCGCCGAGTATTTTCGCTCCCACTTGGCATTCGCCGTCGTCGATTTATACCAAAGCACACAAGTCGATCGGGGTGCTAATTGCTCGATTAACTTTAATCGTGTTTTAATCAGGTTGCACACGTGTGTGCGTTTCGCAAAGAAGTGGCGTGGTGTTTTACATGTCGCTATATTATATTGATGATTATTTATGAGATTGGCAAACAAAACGCAGAGAGGCAGCGAGTCTTGTGTGCCAATCAAAAGCCTTTCAATTGAATTATGTCAGAGTTGATCGTCGTCACAATGCGGTGTACACCTCAATGGGCCACGGGCCAGCGGTAAACACACGACGCGATTTGATTTATGCATTTTTTATTGCTTTAATGCGAAGAATAATGGAAAACTTCGGCGGTGAGGTTGGAATAACTTACCGAAAAGTGATTTGAAGCAGGAGAACATTGCTTTGCAATGGGTGACTTATACAAGTCGCACTTTTCGTTGATATTGATATGAATTTTACAAATATGTGTAGAACTTTCTTTCTCGACCTGTGCACGCGAATGAATCAGTGCGAATTTTTTGCGAGCTTGGATTTCGGCGATGCGCAGAGTGCGGCCCGTGGGCTATTTGTGAACGAATATTGTGTTTCTGAGAAGGATCTAGAGACTACACCGTGTTGCAGTGATGTTAAGTGCATCGGTAATAAAACCGCAAAAGAGCGCAGAGTGGAAAAAATTCCATGACTCGTTTTTATAACTTGTTTTTCTTTGCATTAATATGCACAAAAACGATCTAGTCATGAACGTGAGCAAACATATTTTGCTCGATAATCTAATAGCGCTAAAACAATTACATTTTTAATTTAATTTGATTAACTTAGGTTATTTTTAATAAAAAGTTGATTTTAACTTAAAATTTGATGCAAACTCGTTTAAAACCCGGAAAATTACTAAATAATGTTTGTTTGCATGACACACAAGATTATTTTAATCTTATTTTGATGAAAATTACTAATAACTTAACCTTCTCAACAGTTTAGAGGTTAAGACGCAATATTTATATAAAAACGATCAGTTTTCCAATTTAATTGAATTCCGCTTGTAAATTAACTGCTTTATAACCGCAGGAAAGTAATAATCCGCTCATAACAATTATTAATCGCATTGCCACAAAATATAATAACAATTTACATCTATTTTCTTGAATGTTTGTAACTATTTTGAGGTTAGTTAATGTTTCACGTTTCTCTGACGTCACAAAAACTTCTATAAACACACAATAAGTGGAATTAGTGTGTAAAACTTGTTTAGCAAACAAAAGTGCAATAAATCACTCCTCTTACATTAATAACTAATAAGTGAATTTAAAATTTCATTCTGTTCCATTTCAGTCTTCTGTAAAGAGTTGAGCTGGTTTTTCAGACGTTCTAATTCCATGCTTTTCTCCGAAACCAACGCCTGCAGCTGTTGTTGATCGACTTCGCGATGTTTTTCCATTGTTTGCAGAGTATTTCTTGCGCTGATTGCTTTTAGTTTCTGTTTGTCTACTTCTTTACCCAATTTATCCACCAACGTGATGAAACTGTCGATGATCTTTTGAAATTCATCTAATTCTGCAAAAATAGAATTAATTAATATTTATTCTATGTATTAGTGATTGAAAATGTGTTATATTACTATCAATGTAGATTTTGCACTCATCTTTAAGGACGTTTGTTTGTGAGGCGACTTCTGGATCGAGGATGCGCACTTTGTCGACTTCATCGAAGTAAATGCCGAGTTTATTTAACATTTCAACCATTTTTTCACGCTATTAGTTGTAATTGTGTTGCAAATAAGTCTAAAATGACTTTGCAGACATTTTGTTGTTATTAACTGTTTCCATAGTAACAAGAAAACAAAATTAACTTTTGATCCAATCCTGTTGAATATCTTTCAGTGCTGCCAATATTTCACCAAAGTAACTAACTTTTCATGTCTGGTAAATGACAGCTATGACTTTTATGACATTGGTCTGATTCCATCGCCTGTTTCGTGAATGACTAATTCACAGTTAGCGTAAAACCGTCTCGATAACACGTTATCAGTCCACTGTTATCAACTAACAATAGCTAACATTTAATGTGTGTTTATTGATAAAATGCTTAGAAATAATTAAAAACTTTGCGGTCACAGCTTCCTCGTCGCTTTTCTTCTATGAACTCGTAAGTTGTCATTGAAATTACCATCGAATTTATTCTGAAAAGCAAATATTTCAGTGCAATTCTCAACATGTCCGGCAAGACGGTAATCAAGGACAACCCCTCGCAGTATGTGAAGCTGAACGTAGGTGGTGCGTTGCATTACACCACAATTGGAACACTTACAAAGCATGACACAATGTTGAGGGCAATGTTCAGTGGTCGAATGGAAGTACGCTCTGATTGTGAAGGTAATATTCAATAAAATTATATTTAGAACAAGAATAACAAACTAAAACATTAAAATTATATTATTTCAGGCTGGATTTTAATTGATAGATGTGGTAAACACTTCACAACTGTCTTAAATTTTCTCAGAGATGGATCAGTGCCACTTCCCGAAAGCACAAAAGATTTAGCTGAGCTACAAGCAGAAGCAAAATATTATTGCATCACAGATTTAGCTGAATCCTGTGCACAAGCCCTGGCAAGAAAACATGCTGAAGTTGAACCACTCTGTCAAGTCCCACTGATCACATCGCAAGCAGAAGAAGAACGCCTCATCAGTTCCACAACAAAACCAGCTATAAAACTCCTAATAAACAGACACAACAATAAATATTCCTATACAACTACATCTGATGATAATCTACTGAAAAACATTGAATTGTTCGACAAATTATCGCTCTGGTTCAAAAATCGCGTGCTTTTTATCAAGGATGTGATCAGTACCAGTGAGATCTGCTGTTGGACATTCTACGGACACGGTAAGAAAGTATCTGAAGTGTGTTGCTCGTCAATTGTCTATGCAACAGACAAAAAACACAATAAAGTTGAATGTCCAGAGTCACGAATCTACGAAGAAACTTTGAATATTTTACTCTATGAGACAAGAAATGGACCGGATCAGGAACTGATGCAGGCGACATGTACACGTGGAGCTGTCCTGGGCATGAGTTCTTATACCAGTGACGAAGAAGAGGAACGCACCGGATTGGAGCGGCTGCGTTCGAACAAGTTCAACAATCAGACGTGATGCAAACTGCCCACGTGCGACACGTTCAAAATCTATTTATTTTCTTAATGTATATAAATCTATATTTGTGTGCGTGATGATGAAACCAGTGAATGCGATGTAAAGCTTCCGAGATAATTCACATAATCCGAACAATTTATTTTGAATCCGTATGAAAAAATTACAATTACAGCGCTAAAGTCAATTAAGTGGAAATTGGGATCGATTGATCCGAATCGCAAAGTCACAATGCAATCAATTTGAAACAATTGTCTTATCTTGTCATCCCTGATTTCTTGTACATCAACTTTCACATAAAACTCTCCGGTTAGGAGTTGGCACTCCGATTTTTAAATAATATTTCAATGCGTTGGATTTGTTTGGAATTTGCGGTTTACTTGGTATATCTTTGCGAACTATATAAACAATCTCTTTAGCATTCAATATATAATATAATATATATATATATATTCAATATATTAGTTATGTAAGAATATATATATAGGGCCGGCGCGGGATCTATCCTTAGAGAATCACTTAAGAATTAATGGCGTAAGTTGGCTTAAACTAGACGCGACGGATTGTTTAATCGTACATTTGACCATTTACATTTAAACTCTAGCAAAGCGCTTGTTATTTTTTTTTTTGTTGTATCGTGTATAATACGTATCGTACGAGGATGCTAGGTTTAAAAACGCCAAATCAATCATTTTGACATCGAAAGCACGGGGTTCCTGCTTTTTAAACCTAGCACAATATTTTCTGGGTTCTCTTTTTTTTTTGTTCCTATACCAAGTGTTTTGAAAGTGTAACAGTGTAATTGATTTTGTAGAAGTATTCAAAAATAGGTCGCGAGTGTTTTACATTCTTGTCGTGTACATCTCTGTCGGCTTGTCAACGTTTTTACGATTAAGTTTAGTTTTACGCGGTATTTGTAGCGGTATAATAAGTACACTTTTTTAAACAACATCAGGTTCGCTCTTAGTTCTTCATCATCATATTGTAGTTTTAGCCGCGTGCGCTCTGTTATTGTACGAATTGTTAATAATTGTTATGAAAAATCACGAACGATCATTCTCTTCATCGCTTTCATCATGCTCACGTAATAATGGACTACCATCGTAGAGTTTACTACGACTGCCCTTTTGACTTCCGCTGCGTTTTGAGGTAACGCCCCCGTTGCCTTCGTGGTGTGCAGTTGGGAAATTGGGCGTGAAACATCCGCAAGGCGTGGTCGGCGCGGAACGCGGGAACCAACTACGGCGTTTTTCCTCTTTTCCGGCACCGCCTACCGCCGAGCTGGACGTTAACGGCATGTACAACGTTTTCGCCTTGGAGCGATTAAAGTAGTGTTTTAACTTTGGTGCAGGCGCCTCCGCACTCACCGGGCTTTTATGCTGCGCGGGCAATTGTTGAATTTTATCCAGTAACTCACGCATTTCCAGCGTGGGACTGGTCGCACGTGGCGGAGAATCCGGTGTGCCCAGATTAGCCAGACTGCTTATATCTGAACTGGTCATGCTATTTGTAACGCTGTTGTAAATCATATCCATTTGTGGATTGCTCTGTGCGTTTATCACCACACTAGATGCAACGAGGCTCGAGGGTGCACACACCGATAAATTCAACAAATCGGAAAAGTTGTGCTCCGGATCGCTTTCAGACTCAACTGAAGCTTGATGCCTGGGTTTGAATTTATCCCGCAGACGTACCTCGCGTTTCTTCAGTTTTACTGCGGGTTCAACACTCTCAGGAGGTTCCTCTTTGTTGGTACTAAGATTGGACGCAGGTGGATCGTCGGTGGATGACGCCCGATTTACGAAATCGGTGAGATCGACGACTTCTTGCCGCGGCGAGTTTAAAAACTGCTGCAGTGAAGCGGAGGGACTTACACCAAGGATGGCGCCGATTGGGGGCGGTGGTGGGGTGGGTGCTGGCGCCGGAGAAGATGTTGAATTACGCGCTTGATGCGTATTGGACTGGGGTTGCTGTTGCTGGGGCGGCGGACCGCCGACGACTACCGAGACTTCTTCCAGGCTGCCTGTGCACGAGTAGGGCGGCGGTATGATGTTGTTCGCCTGCGGAAAATGCATGAATTTATTACCTATTTACTCCAACATTGAACTTTTGCGAAATTATGGGTTAACAAGTAAGTTTTGTATCGATTTCTGCGCTACAGAGTGTTGAAATGTTTAAAATCTTCAAGGGTAATGAAAAAATTTGTTGTATATGTTGTGTGACACTCTGTAGATTGATTTTATTTTTATTGTTCTTTGGCAGACCACCAAGCGTAGTTTTTGCACGAATGTTGGAAGTGTTTCAAGGACACACGTACCTCATTGGCGGCGTTGCATATGAAACTAGAGCTTAACGAGTCGATTGTGCTAGTTGCAGATAACGTTCCTTCAAAAAAGAAAAAACATAAATTAATTTATTTTTTCTGTTTTAGTTTGGATGTAATCACTCATCACTCACCTACGGGTCTAACAATAAAATTTCTAAAATACTGCACCATCAGATACCCGGTTGAGGTACCGTTGGACTTCACGACAGCGTCACCATTGTAGCTGATGACCAGCGGGTAGAGATCCGGTTTGGAGGTGACCTCCGAATACGGGGGCGGCGCCTGATGAAAACTACCGCATCGACTGTACTGCGGCGGCGCGTAGCATGACCCATTCGAATCTGGTTCCGAATGATGCTCATCGCCGACACGCCCACTTCCGCCCACATCTCCGCAGCATAATGATGCGCCCGTGAAGGAGGCGGTGCTCTGCCGGCGCCACAATGAACACGCGCAGAGGATTCCCAACAGGGTGGCGGTGGTCGCCGCCCAGAAGTACCAGTGGCCGATGACCAGCGACACCATGTTGTTGGCGGGCAGGTGGATGCTGCTACCGCCACCGCCGGCGTTGGCGGTGCCCACGGTGTAGCCACCGGCGCGGAATACTGAATCCGCTGGGTAGCAGCAACCCTGCTTGCAGCAGTCCTTCGGCGGGCTGCACGTATGGCCGCCATCACAGTACTTTCCCAACTGGAATTTTATTTCGTATTTAAATTTATATTATAACCCGGCGCATTCACCATTTTTTGAAAAAGGTTAACTTACAGTAGTCATGAGTGACGTATGTCCTTTTGTGATGCATGCGGTGCGTTTATTGCCTCCTCATCGCAATTACAGAGCATGGCAGGCTGGAAAAGCCCAACAGAAAAGATTTGTTTGGTTGATGTAATTTATTTCGGCGTAGTTTTTACGACTTTTGCTACAATTTATTGGCGCGCGTCCAAACGAACGCCGAAAATCTTGTGCTCTCTGTAAACGCATCGTAAGCTTCATTTATCGCGTACGTGCGCTACCTAACAATGATCTGTAAGTCCCCCGGCGGCCATTGCTAGGCTGTCATAAATTAAGAAAATTTTAAAAACCGCAGGAACGTATTTTACATTTTAAATTAATATGATAAGCATAACTTAAGATTCACCGCGTTGTTTTATTCATAGGGTGGCTGTGGTTGGCTGGACGTTGGGTTTATTTTATGTTCGAGAATGCCAATACCGTCCCCGCTATTCGTGACGGATGCAGGCGCCGCGACGTCGCCGCCGATCACGCCGCACCGCGTTTTGGCAGAGCCGCTGGCGCCGCCAACTTCTCCTCTTACCCCTGTGCACACCCCCAGCGTGCTTGTACTACAGAACTATCTTCAAAACAAACTTTGTGTGCGTATGTAGTTTTTGTTGATTTTTGCCGTGTCTAACATTTTCTTCGTTTTTTTTTTCAGGCAAGTTTTAGTTTAGTATCTCTTAACAATGTCTGACTGTCGTCTTTGTTTGTCTCATATATTCTCCTTGTGATGCCTCAAGGACACGTAAATTCCAGCGGCATTATAACTCCATCTTACTGACAATATGACGCAGCAGCATGCTTGCTTATCTTCGTCATGGCGTCATGAGTTGAAGACAGGCACGTCACTCATCTGCGGATGCTTCCTTGCGTTGCTATGAATATCGAGCGCGTTTGAAAAGCGTTGGAAGTCGTTAGAGATTGATGTGGGACAACAAAGCGTGTTATTAAAAGGCATTGATGTGGAATAAGTCACGTGTTATGCTTTACTTTGCGTAAACAACGTGACGGGGATAAAAGCCCGCATGACGTGAAGGTCAGCGCTTTGAACTGCGCAGCAAACACTTTAAAATTGATGAAATTTTAATTATCAATTAACAGCACATTGTGAATGGGTGTATAATGTGACGCAGAGAGAAAAGCAGAGAGTGACGCAGATATTTTAATATACTGCGCAGATATGTTGGAAAGTAAGTGAATTTTGAGGTTAGTTTCATATATCAAGCATATTACCATCTATATCGTACCAAATATTCTTTATTGTAGTGTCTGAGGATGTTATCTAAGTTTTTTTTAACCTAAAATAAGTTTCTACACAAAAGAAATCTAACAATAAGTTTGAATAGCTAAATTTTAAGGTTATAAACAACAAAATACTGCTATAACCTTATTAAATGCAAATTTTTCTTATCAAAGTCGCAGAATGTCCTTCTTTTACTACTGCAACGACAAAGGATCATACATTAATTATTTCCCGACTGCAATTTATGAATTCCTGGCTCTATTATAAACCATAATAATTCTATGCAATTAGATCATGATTGCGATGCAAATTATCCTCACAAATTTATGTGTGGCTTAATTATACACCAAACCCATCTTTATAATTATTAGCTTCTATTATATGATCCCTATTTGTTTGATATATTGTTTTTCCGTGAGGCTACACTGTTCAACGATGTAGTTTTAGTTGGTGTAGTTTTCGTAAGCAGCAACTGGAGTAACTCGAGACGGCTTGAAGTGTTTTCCATCCGGATAAGTGCCTACGTTGTTAACTGCTGTGCGGAAACTATTCTGCAGTTCAGCGCGTGGCCGACCACAACAGCCAAAGACTCTATCAAGGAAGAATAGAAGCAACCAAACAAGTTTGATTAAAGCAATTTGCCTAGAGCCCTACAAGTTTGACAACAAACTTTCACAGCGATGAATTTAGTACTAGGACGTGTGTATTGGAGAGTATCATTTGTAAAACACTCTGTATATCCATCTATATGCATATAAAGAAAGTAGGGTTAGTTAAAACGTTGATAACTCATTAACGGCTGGACAGATGTTGATGATTTATGATTTTTTGGATTTGTCTTTACTCCAAATAGCAGAATAACTATTAAAATATTAAAAATTATCATTTAAAGAGTGTTAAATAAGGGATGAAAGTTTGTATAGAGGTTCAATCATATTTATACCTAAATAATTGAATCCTAGATGGCGCTTAATTGCATTATTAGCATTTTGCGTTTTTTCAAAATATAAATGCGAATAATTTTGAGAAGAAAGTAAAAATTAATTTTTACTAAAAACTCCAAAGCGGGACAAAATTGCGAGCAAAAGAAAGTACGATGTGAATGTGGAGAAATTTCCTAGTAATCCAAATCGAATAACCTAGCCTCATTCTGTCGCATCGGCCATCTTCTTCGTTGTTTGTGTGTCATGTTCTCCCGCGTGCCCAATTTCTCCTCGATTTTTCCTGCTATGCTTCCCGGCTCCGATTCCAGTTGGAACCGTGCCAGGGGCAAGGAATTAAGCCGACATCCAGGGCCTTCACGCGCACATCACTCCACGTTATACTTTCCATATAACATTCCCGTGCCGCTTGCGGTTTGCGGTCATGCGTTATGATAAATGTCGCAAAAGGTCAAATCAACATTCGAGATTGTTATTGTTGTTATTTTCAGGCGAGGTCGTTAAGTGTATATTTTGTAGCAACATCGGAAATGTTACATGGCGTGACTTTTATCAAATTTTCCAATGCGCAAAGTACACATTTGAGTTTTTTACTGCATATTGATGTAATTAATTAATAATTAAATCAAAACCAAGCATGAAATCAACTTTTACGCCGAATAGTTTTGATAATTTTGTTCAAAAACATTTTTATAGGTTAGATTTAACATAAAAGTGACATAACCTTCAATTTAAGCTACTTAAAAAGCGTTTTAAATTAAAAGTTAATTTCGTGTACAAAAACTAAACCCTTATAACCTTTCCATCGCAAAAAAGCTTTGATACCGGATAAGGTCAAAGATCGAGGCGATTGATAATGTTTACCGGGTCTAATCATTAATTGATAGCCGCCGTCCCGCAGCCGGATTGCTACGCGGTAAAAACGTGATAAAACGTGAAATTAATCGAGGTTACCGCTTTCCTTCATCAGCAGTTTCATTATAAACTCGGCATATTGTATTTTTACATTTCACTCGCCTTGAAAATTCAATCTAACAGCGTATGCAACCTTGCAGCATGAACGTAAATTGCGAAAAACTGCGATTTTATAAACTGTTTGAGCATCGCGTGCGAAATGTCAATGTCACTACCACGCGTGCTGACCCGGCGCCTTCACCATCGCAATTTACTCCTACCAAACTACAACTACAACTAATTAAGCAGGAAAAACTGATTAATTGGGCATAAATATTGATGAAACTAATAAATTCACAAATTGCAAGCAGAAATTACTAGTTGTGTGCGGTATTTTCATTATAATCGATATGTAGTACTTTGTAATTTAGTTTTTTAAGTCGTTTGTGATGTAAGTGATGTGAATTATGTGTGTTTGCAGCTTTTAATAAATCTAAGAACAGGTTATACAACCGGGTTATGTGCAAGTGAATTCGTCGCGCGCGCGTTCCCTCGCTTGGCTTGCGCTTTTGCTGGCCCGTTTCACGTATCCGACCGAAAAATGTATCGATTTTCGTCGGCGGGGGGGGCGCACACCAGAGCGGCGGCGGCCGGCGGTGGTTTCATCCCTCCGGATTCTCTCCGCGCGCTCGTACGCGATGCTACTCTATATTTACCACCAACAGATAGCTTCAATCCTGAAATATCCGGTTTTCATTGTTTTCGATTTCCTACCATTATTCGATTTCCTTTACTAATGTTTACAACACGTTCTTTTTATTACCTGATTTATTATGTTTTTTTTATACTTACTATATTGTAAACAATTGCTGCAAATCTCTGGGAATTTCCTTCAGTTTGATTGATTGTTTGACCACTGCACACTGTGTTTAGTTTATTTAATATTTAGTATATTATTAGATGTTATAGCAAATATTACGAAGGTTTATCATGATTGTTGTTGGAGTTAATTTAAGACAACCGAAATGAATGCGATTCTACGCACACGAGTTTTGCAAGCGCTTGCAATTAGGGTGTCATTACGTTGACGCATACCGTCTCGCCAGCACGGAGCGGGCGCACCACTAAGGAGCGCGTGGACGGTCGAGGCGCCGCCAACACCGGACGCCGCCCCCGCCGCTGCCGCCAACGATGGTTTCACGCCGTCGCATTGCAGACTTCAACTTAACATTCTTGTTTTTTTTGATTTCAATTAATTTTTAACAATAATAACTGTCACAGAAATTTTATAGTAATTTTTTTGAACATTTTAAATTGTAATTTGTTACTTTTCCAGTACATATTAAATATAACATGTTAATTAGGTTGCATATGTTTTGTAACTATAAAAATAACTTTATTTAGAAATTATTTATAACTTAAATGCTACAATAATTGATTTTCTGTAGTATTTCTGCTGAGGAAAACTATGAGTTAATAATTTATTGCGCAGATGTATTTTATGCGTTGCATTGGTGCTAACTTGGTTGCCTAACATTGATGTTTACTAAAGAATAGTTTAACTCCTGGTAAACTTCGTGAACTTTTTCTTAATGTCTTAAAAACCGGACAAAATGGAACCTAAATACTTAAACAAAGTAATTTTAAACGCTGATGTATATGCGGTATGTCTGCAACACGCGCTGTCCACCGAAAAGGAGGAAGTCATGGGTCTTCTAATCGGAAACGTAAGCTTTGATTTTTAAGGTTACTAAGTTTGATTTTGTTATAAATTGATTGTTTTTTCTGTTAGGTGGATGAAACTACTTCTACCTCACATATATCAGCCTGTACTATTCTGCGGCGTATTGATAAACAACCAGATAGAGTTGAAATATCATCTGAACAACTTCTGCAATCTTTTAACTTAGCTGAGAAACTTTCTAATCGACTCAAGAAAGAACTCAGAGTAATTGGCTGGTATCACTCTCATCCACATATTACAGTTTGGCCAAGTCATGTTGGTGAGTTATTTAAACAAGTCATAATTTACTAAATAATTTTTATAAAACATTTTTATATTTTCAGATATTAAAACTCAGGCTTTGTACCAAATGATGGAACGTTTTTTTGTTGGGCTGATTTTCTCAGTATTTCCAAAGAATGCTGGTTCTGTAGACAATCAGGTGCAAGTAATAGCCTTCCAGTCGTTGAGTGATAGCGATCGTCGGTTGGAAATCAAGCTGGAAATTGCTGATTCAAAGCTAGCCACACATAACTTGGAAGCTTTGTCTACATTGCCTAAAAACCTAGTGCAGGAAGAGAAAGATAATCATAAAGATGCACCGGATGACGAGTGCGATGATTTTCTAATTAGTATGCACAATGAAGCATTGAAAACTTTGAATCATGTGCACATCGTGTCGAAAATAACGCGGCCAATATGCGAAGATTTGGAGAAACGTCTGGAAACAAATCGGTTGCGGATTGCGGAATTGAAACGGATCGTCAAACTATTAGAACGAGGACAATTCGCGTAAGAGTGCCATATTTTTATATATATTTTAATCATAAAACAATTGATTATGATATTTATTTATCTTAACATGTTCGTTCATTTTGAGAACAACTGTTAAAATATTATTTTTGTACATACGAGTGCAAATCGCAAGTTTTTTGCACTTTTTGGAACTTAAGCAGATTAAAACGTTGAAAATTACTACATGAATCTTAAGAAAATTCCTTTTAAATGAAAAAGGATCAAAATTTTACAGCATATTCGATGGTAAAATATTCAATTCACTTACCTCTTTTCAGTTTTAAAAACAAAACGCGTAAAATAGCAATAATGGAACTTTTTATCGCAATTTTTTGATTTTATACTCACTTATATCGTTTACCCGTTCAAATTTTTGCTTCGTCATCGCATATTTATGAAAGTCATGTCAAAATGACGAGCAATTTATTTTTTCCTGAGTTCTTTATCAAAATATCAAAATTGTAGGAAATGAAAACAACATAAACATTGCAATTTGGTTTTTTATGCATTGCACAGTGGATATTTCGCGTTACTGTCATTTTTTCTGCATATTTTAAAAATTTAATAATATTATCCATAATACAAATCACTTTATATAAATTGTGTAAGTGTTTGAAGTTTATTTACACGTAAATTGAAAATTAAGTGTACAAATACAAATGATACTAATACACACTCTTCCAACAAAGGTAGGAATAACGAAAAACACCAAGAAAACAACTCGCGGTATAAACAACTTATGTCGAAATAATACATTTTATGTTTGCTAGTTACAAGTTAAAGTTCCCCATTTGCTCCATGACTATGCCCGCAATCCGACTGCGTATGCATCTGTAGAAACACGTATCTAATGTTGAAATTTATTCATCAATGTTTTAAGTGAAAGTAATCGCTAGCGTGAATCGTTCATTGTACACGTGCACGCGTGTACGTTTACGCCCGTCTGTTATGCTAGATTGAAAACTTATATTTTATAAACATCCGCGGGGTCAATTGGCGCCGCCGACCACCTTCCCCGTGTCTTCGTGCCCCTGGTACTTGGGTTTGCCGTGCGTGAACGGCAGATAACGATACTTGATCATGTGTCGGATCTGGCGCTTCATCGTGATGCACAGCAGTGTGAAGAAGTACATGACGAGAATTGGCCAAAACACCGGCACATTGAAGCAGTCGAACAGCGTGCAGAACAGCGCAAACAGCGTGCTTTTCGTGACGGAATACCAGAACTTGAATTCGGGCAGGCGGCGGATGAACGGCCGGAACTCTTCGTTTGCTCTCGTAGGCAGCTCTGGACCATTTTCTTCAGCTGGTGAGAAATTAATTTCGTGTATATCATTCTCCTAGTTAAATTTTTATGGGGCTTACCATCAAAGTCCATCGCTGGATCGATTTTTGGCGTTAAAAATGCAATAAATAGATTTAAATGGTAAATGCCGAGGGCGTAGGTGACTATGTACCATCCCTGCAACGAAATTGTGTTACTTTCTAAGTCTGTCTAACATTTAGGTATAGAATGAGCCGACCCCAAGTATAATTTGCTTAGATTTAACAGGCACCCAGAGGCGGTGGTGGACAAAAAACACTCAACTTTTCGTTTCGACAAGATCTGAATGAGTAAGAATATGAGGTGATAGATGAGATATGTAAATAATTAGGGAGGATACCTGCGCGATCAGGACTCGAGCCAGGAATCCGGCCACGAAGAGCACGGCAAAGATCCATCTGCCTGCCTTAAATGGCACTGTACTGTCCACCACGCCCTGGTACCACTACAAACAGAGAAAGCAAATTATACTAAGGGGGCCGTGCCGGCGGCGTACCTGCTTGCTGATGATGCGGAAGGAGAAAAGCACGAGCAGCGCTAGAGCGCCACCCCAACGACCTTTTGGATACGGCGTCCAACTATCCAGCTGACTTTGATATATCTAATTGTTTTGCATTGATATTTTGTTAATTTTCAACTCAGTTTTTCTTATATTAAGCATACTAATATTTTCTAACTTTTATATTAATGTGAGGCATTTAAATAATGTGAATAAGGTAAATTACCTGTGAAATTCGAGTCCATGCCTGTGACACTACACTTTTTTTGCTACTCCCTGGTGATAATAAATCCTCATCCATGATTATATTCTAATATTTGTACAAATGCAAGCCTAAAACACAAGTAATGAGTTCAATAATTGGTCCAATTAAATGCCGCTTAAATTAATATTAATGAGCATCGACCGACAATTGTGAAATTGTCTCCGGGTTGGTGCCCCAGCTCATGCTTACCGAATTATGCCAGTTGATGGATTGGCGATGCGGCGTCTTTGGCGTCGTGTACGTAAACTTATGCGGCGGGCGGTCGTTGTTGTATACAATGCGTGCGGGGCGACCCTTTCACGTTATCAGTCATCCATTTTCGGTATTTTCCTTCGATTATGAGGATTATGATACCATCATCGCGGGCGAGACATCCACGTCAATTTGTTTTGACGTTTACTTCAATCCCTTTGACAGCCAGCAACAACCTGCTTGCAACTGCTACTGGTGGCGCTGCTGTAATAATTATTTAAGATAATAGATGGCGCTGTCATTTTAGAAATCAATTTTACTTATTCAAAAGTACAAACTTTAAAGCTTTATCATATGTTGAATTGTGTGCTGCATATAGTGTCGTTATTCGTTTGTGTGTATCTTTATTAATTTCTGAGATAAACGATTCTTAAGTGTTGGTGGAAGTACACGCTTCATTTAAATGCTTGAATGTATATGTTGAGCGTGCTCGACTTTCACGATGCGCGCGCTTAGTTCTGCACCAGGCGTTTGTGGAGTCGGACGCGTTTTCTGCTACAACGTTTTCGTTGTGAGTTTGTTATTTGTTAATTCGGGTAGAGGTTCTCTGTATTTTGTGATAATCCACCGCCGTCATGTTCTTATTTCAAGGAATTGCGTGGAAGTCGAGAAATAGAGGTAAGTACAGGTTTTTCTTATTTTTCTTTGCTGAAATTGTTGTCTTTGTTGAACTCATCTGGTCGCGTATGCATCGTTCTAGAAGTCTTATTCATACGCAAGCACACCGGTTTAGAACGATAAGTGATAAGATTTGTTATTGTGCACTTATACATACCGCATCGGAATATACACACGAGTATCGTTTGCAATTCGACTCATGAAATTAAATTATTTTAAATATCCATCAGACAGAGAATTTTCAAATCTTCCATAATATCGTATTTTGTGGTTGCAATCTCTTTTAGTTTGGATGGCAATCGAAAATCGGCGAAATTGGGCGCCTCGACAGTTTGCTTTTATCGAAATTTAAAACTTTAAAACTTGCAATGCGATAGGCATTTTATACGAGGCGACATTGCCGCCCCCGAAATCACGCTAGAAATGCCATAAAATCGCTCTCAAACTTTTACGATAGCAATACATGTGGCC